ATATGTATTTACGTTTATTAATGAACAAATGCTGTAATTTATTGTAATTTTTTTGTTTTTAATAATATGGAATTTGGTATTTTGAAATATTAGATTAGACCTCTTAAAGTTTCATGGAAAGTTCAAATTTTAGAGAAATTGTCGCTTTTGTAAAAATCGTGACTGACAGTTGACACCTGGCTCTTGTTGAATCGTCAACTTTATCGCATGGAGTTTTTTTATTAAAAATTGATGTACACTTTTTTAATATTATATTTATAAAGTCGTCATTATTATTATTTGATAAGCAGTGAGCTCATTATCTTAGCTAACGTTTATTTGAATTTATCCCACTAGCAACAATTTCTTTAAAAACAAATTACCTGAGCATTACATCTTTACAGTTACTTGAAATTCTAACTATTTCAGATTGGCCGATAAGAACTGGAAAAACTCTCCCGTTATTATTTATAATTATAAGCGATTGACTGCATTTGCACTTGTACTTGTATATGAGCGGCAGAAGCTTATAAATTATAGAAAAAACATTTGTAAATGCAAAATCAATACAGAAATGGAGGATGACGCGAAAAGCTGCAACATCTATTTGAAAATATATAATAATCGAGATATCAACCATTGTGAACACTACAACGAATTCTTTTATAGAAATTTGACTAATATGAATCTGACATTCTAAATCTTGGGAGCAGCTTGAATATCAAATACAATGTCAGCCATGAAAACCAACGACAAACCACTGTTACCAAAAAGCATTCGATTATTCAGAGACTTTCGCCATAATATTGTTTAGTTAAAATAAGTGCTCCCAGAATCAAGGACACGTTCACTGAAAGATTTCAAAACTACTGTGCAAATATTTGTGGTTTTATTACAGGCAAACCGATAAATAGCTCAATATTGACCCCACTGTGCAATGGCAGCGTCGTTAATAACATTTTTCTTACCATATACAATTTCCCAACAACTGCTTCGTATTTTCGTATCGTTTTCGTATCGGCTGCTGGCGCTTACTTGCTACTTCAAAGCATTCGTATGACATTTTCGAACAATGGGGCGGTTGGCGGTGTATATGTGCCGGCTTCAACACAGCAACACATACATATACATCTATACATTCATACCATGTGTGCGTGTGTGTAAGCGCATAAGTGTATGAAATAATAAAAAACAATTAATAAATATAAAAAGTTGCTTGTCGAGCAGAAGAGCTGTTGTCGTGGCGCGTATCAAGTACTGACGCTTACGATTGTTTTCAGCGCATTTTCGTAATTTCACTGCAAGACTGGCCAGTTTTCCATTCCAAAATCAGTTTCGACTCGCGATTCTAACTCGAGAGATGTGTTTTGTGTGCAAACTCTTTTGCAATTTTTACATTCGGACTAAGACGGTTGCTTGATTGGCCATTGTGTTCTCACCGATATTTTCTAGTAATATATAAAAGTAAAGTTCGCAGATTATTAGAATTTATGGTACACACACATACATATATTCATTTGGCAACTGATTTTACAAAACATAGTTGCTCTTCATTTATTAACGGTTCATTTTAGTTTTTTGAACGATAAAAATTTTAATTAAATATATATTAAAAAACAAAACTTTTGTTTTTTGTGTTTCGTTATCTTGCAGTTATCAGTTGCTTGTAGTTGATAAGAAAAGTATTTATCATTTGAAAAGATTAGACACAATTGAATTAGGTTGTTTTCCGAAGTTTGAACTAATAATTTCTGTATGTATGTGCGTTGTACGTTTTACAAAATTTTTAAAAAATCTAACACTTAATCGAACTTTCTACTATATTATATTTAACAGTACATATATTTGTGTAAGTGTGCGTGCAGCATACCAATTGCCTAACCAATCACGATTCCTAACCTGCCTCACTCAACTTGCTCGTAGTTAGAACGCCACAGCAACAGCATCATCCGCAACAAAAGCAGAAACTGCATGTTACTGCAACACCTTTGATTATTTTGAAATTTTTGTTCCTTTTTGCATCTTCAACTTTAGAGAGCGAACGACCGGTAAGTTTGCTTTTCCTCTTTTTCCATTCTAAACACTTATAAGTCCATTTCCATCTGTGCTAGGTACGCATACTTTCTTTCTATTTGCGCAATTCTCTTTGTAATTACTCAGAAGTTGGCAAACTCTTACATATCTACCTGTTCTCAATGTTCTGAGTAAAGCACATTGTTATTTTTATTTGCTTTATCTATCATACAAATCCGACCTTACTGCTCTCAGCTGGTGTATGTGCCATACATACTCGTACATACTTGTACATTCATATGTATGTATCTACGTCAAAATAATACATTTACCTGAGCGTCATCTTACAGAGTCTCATTTGTTCAGTGGTTGGGAAGATCTGCTTGAGTCGCTTCCAACTCTTTTATTAATAAAGTTGCCAGAGCTAGGTATTTAACATTAATTTGAAATATAACGGGTTATATTATTTCATGCCATTAATCAAATCAATACAATTACAGTTAAATTATTAAAGTTTTAATACTTTTAAATATACGCAAATATATCAAAAAAATTTTAAGCCAGCGGTTCACCATACTAAAGGGGCACAGCTAGTGTGAAATTTGCAAAAATATATTTGTTCATATTTCGATGGTCTATACTTTTAAAAAAACTATTGAAAAATATAATAGTATTTTTTTTGTAATATTTCGATAGTCTATACTTTTAATATACTAAAATTTTATATCGATATTTCAAATATATTTTTAGGGTTCTAAAATGTAACCGTCTAATATTAATATATCCTTTTCTTATTTTCTTTCCTTTCGCTATTTCTCTCTCAATGTAACTACATAAATTATTTAGAAAGCAAGTTTTATATAATCATTAGTTGATATGTAACTGTTTTTCTTTCACTAAAGAAAATGTCATCCAATTTCACTTCATTGCGATTTTTTTTATTAATTTTATACTTCTTTCACAAATTATGGCATTACCTACCACCATAATGTAACACGATACTAAATTAACGAGATTTGTATGTACAAAAACCGGTGATTTTTGAAACTGCGAGCGCTTAACAATTTCCAAGAGTGTGAAGCCAAGAATTGCCTCGTCAATCCGTGTAACTGACAGCTTCAGTAAGAACGATGAGCGAACGATAGATAAGCATATTTATAAATATTTGGCTTAAGCTACTACATTCACATATTTTAAGGGAACAGTAAGGTTTGAAGAAGTAAATCTATGATGTGTTATCATTGAATTTAGTAGTATTTTGGTAGTTAAGAAAGATAATATACCGGAAAGAATAAACGCTTCATAGAAAACCAGAATTGTGCAACGCATTGTGACATATGTATGTACAACATACGCACTTACAAAACTACTTCAGTGTCTAAAAGTTTCTCTTCTGGGCATGTATAGGTACAATTATTTCCGTACATATTCAATTAAACATTACTGCAAGTTCTCTCATTACTTCCACTCAAAATCAGCCAACCTCATCCCCTTCAAGTAACCTAATTTTGTAAAAGCGTTATTTTCGAGTAAGTAATCGAATTCCGAATTCGAAGCCAATATGTATATGTGTGTATGGTTTTGGTAAATTCGAAATTACAAAAACAGTTCGAAAACACGAACTTTGTTCATATCATATATTCGGATACATCTTATTTACTTTGTTTAGTTTGTTTTTTAAGTGACTTCTTCTACAACGTTATTGTTTTAATAGTTCGCATATGTATATATTATATATGACACATACATATGTACATACATACTTACACAAATTTATGACTGGGTATGTACAAACTAGCAGAATATTTTTGAGTTTCTATGTTAATTAAATAAGAAAAGAGTAACCATGGTAATATGCATTCGTGTATACATTTTCAGTCATTATTATAAACCTTTATTTAGTTAATACTAGAACGAACTATTACTCGATTCAACTAGATTTTTCTATGATAGTTTACTTCAGCCCTGAACTACCAGTTTTATGTACAGCCAGGTGAGAATGAAATCAGTATTTTGCAAATTATAAATTATTTTTCGGAGTTTAACTCGTGACATACACTATCGAAAATCTTTCTTATGTCTAACATTATTAAAAACCGTAGTAGATGATGAATTCCTCATTTGTACGTTTTTAAACAAACTTCTATGTATTTATGATCGATTTTTGTCATATTTATATTTCTTTGATTGTTTGTTCTTTTTTTTTTATCAAATTAATGGTGTGCTGGGTTGCGCTTTGAATTGAAATCTATCATCATCACGTGGTAGCGATGGAATGGTTTGAGAATCAAATCAAAAGGTGGTTGGAATGAGCATTCCACTCAATGCGCCAGCATTCAAACAAGTGTGTGTTGGTGTATGAAATCCAGTGAGAATGTGATAGCAACAAGCCTGACAGCCGAGTTTTCGAAATGTTTTTCTACAATGCTGGTACACTGTGTGCTGAAATATGTCAGTGAGGAAACAAAAACACTTCACTGGATATCTACTCGCTAAAGTTGCGATTATTCGTATCTACGCTCTTTCGTTTCGAATGTGACGAGTGCACACCCGAATACGAACTGAAAAACAAATCAAGGTATAACGACAAGAAAAAACACTAATGATGAAAAGCAAGTAAAACAAATATTCAGATGCAATCAAAAGTAAAGCAGAGCAGGCAAACTTTGTATCAAAATGTTGGGAATACTTGATAATACATTATATACAAATTATTACTCACAAAGTCACAAACATACATATGTATATGTGTGTGTAAGTATATGGTATGTAAGTTGTAACATAACCAGAACAAAAAAGCTTTTCAAAAACCCCAACTTATGTGCAAGTTTGTGTGTAATTTTTTGTATTGAGAAACAGATTCAAATACACAACTCAAATCCGATTCGAAAGCAAACCTAAAGCTGGGATGGGCAAACATACTCCAAAGTAAAATTTTTATATACCTACATACATATGTACCACCATATGTCAATACTCGTAGTAAATACAAAAACGTAGATATGAATACGAAATTGAATAGTGGCGGATCTGTGATACTCGACGCTTTTTATGGTAGCCGTATTGAAATCACGCCGTTGACGACGTTTACCGACGAACAACCCACCGCAAGCAGACAACGGCTAAAGCCAATGTGGCGAGTTGGTTATTCGAGTTCGTAAATTCAGTTTTTCAGTCATTCTCGTTGGTTCGCTTGGTGCGGTTGGTTTTCGAAATTTTCATAACGGCAGCGGGTATAGTGTATCCACAAAAGAGAGCGTAGCAAAAAGTTACAAGCACATACACATAAGCATGTAAATTAAAAAATTTTCAAAAACACTTTGCTTACTACTTAAATCAGTTAAATAAAAATTATTTCCATAGTAAACAAAAAAAATAGTAGTAACTATTTGTTATACAGTTTAATATGGGATTTGGTATAATTTCAAAAATCGCCCAAAATGGCATGACGCAGAATTAGAAATTCCGTTGCGGCAGAATTTGCATTTCGATAGTTACTAAAGTTACGTCGTCGCTGTCGATTTACTGCTCTCTTGTTGTTGCTGCCAAAAGCTACAGCTGTGAATTGGAATCCCTTAAATCGGTTCGTCAGTATACCGGTCTGTCGGTGGGGTGGATGACAATAGCTTTGTTCCGTACGATTTGAAATTAGAGGAAAGCGCCTTTCCACTACTACCGTGTTATCAGAAATCTTGCATCGTTTACTTACATTACAGCGCTTATACACAGTTCTTGTTTGTGTTTGTTAATTCAGTATTGAAATATTTTATCAAGAAATTTAAATTGAGAGCGTTCGTTTAACATCGACCTACAGAACCTACCGCCATTCGCTGCAGTACGTGCTTTTTTCATTTGTTTACGCTCTCGCAAGTTTGTCATCTGTACTCCCATTACCGTTCTTAGCGACAGAGCATTCGAAACGTTGAAGCGTAGGGAAGCAAATAGTTGCAGATTTGAAATGATGTTGCTGGTATGTTTGATTATGTCCCATTGGGTTTAATTTTTCATATATGCATACATACTTACATACATATACTTACATATAATTTATCCAATTACATTAATATAACAAAATATATACATACATATGTACGTACACAAGTATTTTTATTTGCCATATAAATATTCCCATATTTTTACTACCAACAACTATTTATACCGTTAATTAAATTATTTTTTTGAAAGTCTGTATAATATACGGTAAGATATACATACATACCTATGTACATTTTTTGTCACCTAACGGCTTTACAGTATAACGTCGTCGTTGTGACATATGTAAGTTATATATTCTGGTGTAAAAACGGGATTATTTCTGCAAACACCACTAAAATAACTTTAAAAAAACTGGTAATGCCATAAATTGAAATTTTAAAGGTATTTTAGACACTTTACCATAAATCACTTCGCATTTTTATAAAAACAAATTGAAAATAACAATGTGTATAATAGGCTACACAAAACATACATAGTTTTTGTTATGAAATTATTAGACATTTTTTAAAATTTTAACGTTTTTTAAGAAAAAACATGTGCACTATTCAAAGTATTGCCCATTTGAAGCTATAACATTTTCCTATCATTCTGGCAATTTGTGGATTACATCCCTAAAGGACGACACCGGCATGGCGCCAAGAATTAATCGAGCAAATTTTTGATAGCCTGCTCTACTGTCGGACGTTTTTCGGCAATTGGTCCCTTCAATTTGATGAATTGTTGTCGGTAGCGTTCCTCATTGAAGATTTCATCCGGTTTTAGAAGGTCATAATACAGCACGCCCTACTGATCCCAACAAATATAGAGCATTACCTTAGGGTCATGGATATTCAGCTTTGTCGTTAATTTGACTGTTTGTCCAGGTTTCACATATGATTTTTTACGTTTATCGTTGTCATAGCCACCACTTTTGGCACGTTCGCTCAGGTAGAGCATGTTCACTATAAATTTCCAATAAAATACAATATGTTGACTCGGTTTGCTTTATATTAAAGTAATAAAGAGCTCCCCGCAAATACCCTTTTTTAGATGAATGACGCACAAGGACAGCAGCTTTCCAAAACATGTTCCGAATACTGAAACAATGAATACTTAATCGAGTTAGTTATAGACCTAATTAACGTTAATTACTTTTCTTGGTTTCTTAATACTGATTTCAAAGGTGCCCATGCTCATTTGACTTATTGTCCTGAAAAAATAATTAGAATGTACGGACATTACCCCTTTTCTTATGTACAACCGCATTCTCCAGTCTTGGTGTTTATTATTCTCTGAGCTACTTTTCAATATATCAATAAGCTTTTTCTCGATTGCTGTTTTAGCCACAAAAGCAATACAGTGCTTCCTTTATTCCCGCTAATTAGCAATATTACAAAAATTATAGCCTAGCTCTTCTCCACATAACCTCTCCAGACCAAAGGAGCTTTCCACTTTTTTTTTTGTATTTTCTACTGGTATAACTTTGTAAAGCTTCAGATCTATTCAGTCTCCATATATTCGGGCATCGCATCTAATTCAACCGATCTCTTAGAACCTATCTCTCCATCAATCTTTCACAGAATGTTTCTCAAGATGTATGCTTATTTAAGGAGAACATGATCAAAAACGACAAAAAAACTTTAGTTGATTGTCTACAATGTTCAAATGAGCACTTCTTGGCAAGACTGTGCTGTGTTGCAAAGTTAAAATAGTTGAAATTGCCTGTTTTGTAATAACAACATAAATATCACCGGAGGTGCAGAGTTTATTTAATGACAGGATATATTTCGACTTGTCGTCGATGTTACGGTATACATGATATTTTCCACATTAGATTTCAAAAATATTACGACAGCCAGGGTTCCACTCTGATACCTTGTTAGCCGAGGCAGAGGAACAATCAGTGGTGGCGTCATAAAGGCAATAATTTTTTGTGCTTAGGTGTCTTTTATAAGAAGTTTTACTTAATGTTTCCATGTTTAGTAAATATCTGATAAAGGGTAACTTTACTCGACCCAAATTCACATTTATCGAAATGATCAACATTTCCCACAATGTACTCGGTTGTAGTACCTAAATGGATTTTTTGAAATGTTAAATCCACAGTACATGTATAATATTGTAGGATAGAATTCGGTTCGGCCGAGCTATAATAAATATACTTGAAATATTATATACAGAAAATATAGTATAGGACTGACAGACCGACCAGGGTGAGATGGAAAACCTTAGGGTCATGCAGAATTAGATATCAAGTCTATATTTAACTTCACAAAAAGCGTTGACATCATGTACGACGTTAACTTCAGCTCGTATTAAACTGAACCTCCATCTGGCATTACAAAGGACTTGTAGGTCTATGTACGGCTTAGCAGCCAGCCAGTATAAGCTAACTTAACTTAATAATTAAATTATTATTAATAATCATAAGACAGTGCCTCTCTCTTATCGTTTTTCAGTCCGCGCCAACCAAACGCCTCGCTTTCGGGTGATTATTAAAACAGCTCATAAATGCTTATGCCAAGACTACAATATCACCTTAACGGTTATAATCCAGACATGAGCATAACATTAAGCATGCAACACCAACAACAACACATTAATCAATTATTAAATACGGCAGCGACCGCCACCGGCATTGTAGGCGACGTGGATGCCTTACTTACGCCCATACAGAACACCAACACCATGCCTCGAAATCTCTGGCGCACCAATGAAATCATGGAAATGTTGATTATTATGCAAGAAATAAAAGCACTCGAATTGCTTAGCGTTAAAACTATAAAAAGCGATCTAGTATTTCGTAAAGTGGAGAGGATAATGAATTTACGCGGCTTCCGAAAGAAATCACATGTACAAATTTGGACCAAGTGGAAATTTCTCAAATCGACTTACACGACATCTCGTCGCAATGGCATAATACCGAAAATGATACCTCAACCGATCTATGAGGAATTGCACAAAATGCTGCAGAATGCCAATAGCAGCTGCTCAGGGCGTTCGACCAGTGACTGTGGAAACTCAACAACATCACTCGATGGTGACGATTCAAATGGCGCCATAGCAATTAATTGTAGTAATGGTAGTGAAAGCAAGTTGGTTATATCTGGAGTTGAAGGAGGCTATAGTGTCGGGGGTAAAAGTTCATTGGATGGTCGTGTTGTTGGTCCCGAATCAGACGAAGAGAATGGTCTGGCACATCCCATATTTGGTTTTCGTTTGGGACTTGTTAAGCAAGAACCGGCTGATACAGGTGTGTACATATATACTTTATAGTGGCTGTAGTTTTCAATTTAAATTTAATATTACTGCCGTATTATTTTAAGATGAACATTTAACTTATATAAAGATCTATCTGTCTCAATACAGGTTATGAATGCTTAAATGTTAAGGAAAAGGATTCAACTGCCAGCATACAGTTCCAAACCGAAGTTAAACAGGAAGCAACAGAAGAGGACGATGCACCGTCAGTATCGACATCACCGGCTCCGCAGGTACCATCCGAAGAGCAGCCAAAACATCAACAGCCTCAACGGCAAACTATACCAGAAATAATGATATTAAGCCGACGCTCTACACGCCCTTCAACCACCATCAACACAACCACTACCACATCAACACCAAATGTTACCAGTACCCCTAAAGCAAACATAACTGCATCCCAAACACAGCCGGAAGCTGCAAACACATCAAGTTCAACGCCGTTACCTCCGCTACGCATAGCTCGCTTCGCTAAGATACCGTCCAGCGAGATTACGACCGATTCAAACGCGAATTTGCCACCACCACCACTTACCATGAATCCAACATCACATACATTACGGCTTAGTAGTGCCTATAGTAGTGGCACATATGCTATTAATGGCAAAGGCAACTCCGGGAACAACGTTTTGACATTTACACGGAAACTAGCCAATATGAATCCACAGACAGTCACGATAACAACTCCAGGACATCAAACTTCCGTAAACCCTTACATACGACAACCAGAAGTTGTAATGCCCGACCTTAATGTAGCACCAGTAGCGCCACATGAACACCGAGCGCCGCAACCATTTTACGGCTTCCCAGATGGACCGTCAACCAGTCAGCAGGCACAGCAACAACAAGTTCAACAGATCGAAGCACGAAAGCGACGTTTAAAGGCATCACTCATGAATGCATTGCCGCCAAAGCGTGTTAACCGCGCACCCGAAACGCTTACAAAGTCCACATCGCGACAAGCAAATTTGGAATTTAATAGTCAATTCAACGACGATGGACTTAATGACAGCTCAAATGAGGAAGACAATTCTATATATCAAACACATCCGCAACATGGGGGAGATCAGCCTTCACCAGATAATACCGAGCGGAACCAAGGATATACGAAAGTATTGCAAGATATGGCTATTTCGTTACGTCAAATGCAACGAGAGGCAATCAACGAATTTTTCAAGCGTCAAATGAAACTAGCCCGTGAGGAACACGAATTTCAAATGCATCAAGATGCGCTGCTAATGCAAGCATTCAAGGAACAAGCTCACCAGTTTCAACAGATGAGCAAAGAACTCTTGGGAAGCGCTGTAAAGTTGGAAAAGCGTAAAAAGAGGCTGGATAAACAGGTCCAGAAACAGTTTACGAGTAATAGAAAAGTACATACACGACAAATGCAAGCTCGTTCTGGGGAAAATGTGAAGGTTCTACTCAACGGTGTAAACAAAGCAAAAATAGAACATAAAGGAGTATTAGAGGAGAGTAAAAAAGACGTGAAAGTACTAATGAGAAATATACACGCACAACTGGAGTTGACTGAGGACGACGATGAGGACGACGAACAAAATCAATACGAGTATGATGTAAGCGAGTATTTGCAAGATAATGCCACTCGTGGTATGATGCAAAAACCAAGTGAAGCGCAGGACACGCTAGAAGAAATGAAATGCGGTGAAAAAAATAACATTACTTCCGATCCCATACAAATACTTGGCTAATAGAATTAAAATAGGAGAGTTCAAATAAATTAAACATTTAATAAGGATTTAAGAGAAATGCACATTCCAGCGTGAAAACGCTTGTACGTATTCCCTAAAACAAAAATGTTGCAGGTAAAAAGCTATTTTCAAGACTTTGGTGCCTCGTAATATTTTTGTGCATAACATGTGATCAAATAGTAGATTAATGCATTAAGTTCGATATGACTTCAATTAATTACTGTATTTTCATCGTAAACAAAATAATATAATCCATTGCGCAACATTCCAAAGCCGCACGAAGACTTGATAATATATAAGCATAAAATAATTTATGTTTAGATGAACTTTAATTTAATTTGAAATAGATTAAAATAATGCTATATATTCAAGCATATTTCATTTGAAATATATTTTCTGAATGATTCAAAAATATTTATTTTAAAGTAAAGGTGTAAATAAATGAAACGAAATTTATGAAAATTGTTAAACAAAGTTTTACTCTAAATTTAATGTACATATTGAGCGAAATTATTAATTTTTTCATTAGCTTACCGCATTTCCGCTGAAGCCCTTTTTGTTATATCCCAGGAGGTCACGAACACCCAAACTGCATTACATTGAAAGAATTAGCGTGGAAATCAACACGTATGTACATACTATGAAAGAGATTAACGAACTGTGCCACTCTAGTGTAATTAACCAGTGAATTAATCGATAACTGTCTCTCAGGGATGTTGTCCAACAAATGACGATTTTGATCCTATCTGTAATTTTATGTCTCTATACCTTGAATAAAGTATATTAAGTTTACTACGAAGCTTGTAACACCCATAAGGAAACGTCAGAGGCCCTATGACGGATGTATATAAGTAAATATTCAGCGTAATGAGCTGAATCGATTCAGCCATGTTCCTCTGTCTGTTAGTCGACTGTATATATATGAATTAGTCCCTCACGTTTTTGAGATATCCGATCTGCAATTTTGTACACATACTTTTCTCCACAAGAAGCTGCTCATTTATCGGAAACGCAGTTATCGGACCACTTTACGATATAGCTGCCATACAAACTGATCGATCAAACGCAAGTCCTTGTGTGGAAAACTGTTTTATTTGACAAGGAGAGTCGAGTCATCGTTTTTAACAAGGTATAGAATTAATAAATATACAATTTAAAATAAGCCATATGAAAAAAAATATAAAACCATGTTGATTTAAACTATAAGATAAACAGTTTTGTTAACAATTCTGCACTTATTAGTTTACCTAACTACATACTAGCAAATTTTAAAATCTATTACCTTGAATTTTTTTGGTTTATTAGCATTTTCCCACTGAAATGTCTTTTGTTAGTACTCTTTCATTCCTGTTGGCACAATAGTGTTATAATTTAGTACATGTTTTAAATTAAAATCCAATAAACAAAATGATATACTATCTTATACCAGTATAAAAATATATAATTTCTTTTAATTATAATTCAAACATTTTTTAAAATAATTTTTTCAAACTCAAAGTAAAAAAAGCAGGGAGATGCAACCACATGTTACGCGGGAAAACAAAAACCTTTATTTCTTTTAAATATACAATCTTTATTAGCATTTTTTAAATAATCGTAAGTGACTTAATTCTAAGCGAATACAATTTTCTCATTGAAGCATACGCTTTCAATTAATATTAGTTGTTTTCTTTAAATTCTTGTAAATTAAAATTAAATTAAAAATGTTTTATTATAATTTTCATCACATTTACATACCATAAACATTCAAGGGAAATTATTTTGCTATATTTTTCTAAGTGACCATAGCAACATGTATATGGACGAAAGCAAAAAAAAAAAAAACAGATAAATAAAAGCAACCCCAAAATATCATTTAAACAGTTTGCAACAAAAATAATTTCAAGCTTGTCCTTGCATTTCCTTTCATAATAACTGCATTTATAGTAGTTGCGCACAGATGGCAAATCAATATCAGCTGTCGGTTTTTTTTCTACCGTCTATATATGTATTAGTTATTAGCAAGTACATATATGTATATAATACGTATAAGTTCATATATACAAACTAATAGTTTCGATTGTTTTTAATTAGTATTTATAGTTGTATTGTTCCTTCCAAAGTTATTCAAAATTATTTCAAACTATATGCATAATGACGCCCATGGCCGACTTAAAACCCCCCACCCCCGCTTAAAAGGATTTTCGATCTTTAAATCATATTTATTTAATCCGGACGATAAATAGGTGTCTTCGGTATAAATTCAATACGCAGCACATACTCCATCATCGAATTTGAATCACATTGTTGCTTATGAAGTCGCCAATGTAGGCCTAGTTTATGATACAAATGGCTATTCTCCCATTCAAGAAGCTTATCAAGTGTGTTTTGCGTCTAGAATTACAAAAATATATAAATATAATTTAATTTTTGATTATTAGCAATAATAAAATTGCTAAGGTAAATTTATTATTTTTATGTGATATGTGATCATACATACCCGTTTGCTCAAACAAATGACCGGCCACAGAGAACAACCTAATGTACAACAACAGCATACACAGCCGCAGAATAGCCATTTCACGTTTACCGGTAATGTTTTCTTTAAAATGCCGTTAATACGTCCGATTGTTGCTTTGAATTCTTCAGGTGCAACACGCGAAACTAGACCCGAGGGAAATTCTGTATTAAAACGATTACTCAAACCAAATCTGTAATTATAAATATTTCAAAACTTTAATATTTGGTTATAGAAAAATGGTTTAACAATTGAAATATACAAAAATATTCACCTAAATGTTATTACATTGTTTTAAACAAGTACTTTGGTAAAAATAATAATGCGTTATAACAACACCCATGTATAAAGACAGTCGGGTCTAAGTAACCGGAACGGACCCGGATTTTTATCCGGCCAAGGACTGTCGACTCAGCACCATTCCTCGAAATTACCTTAGGAATGTTTTCTGGCGTTACTACAACAACAACATAAAGAATTAAAATATCTAATTCAATTTAGATATACAAGACGACTAGTGCAATGTCTGGAGAATTGAAGACCCAGCATGTAGCACTTAAAGAACCCAACAACACTTATGAGGGACCTTCAAATATTAATAAATAACATTACTGGATTGTCCTCACAACTAACAAACTATGACCATATGCCCAAGCAAAATAAACAGAACAAATAAAACTACTGAAGGTTACGAAAAACAAATATATGTAATTACAATATAAATAAATTATTTGTTTATGTTCACATCAATAAGTAATTAATTAATAGTTATGGACAGTGCTTTAACTAAAAGTACTTTTTTAATTATTTGTATAGAACTTACACTGTCATGTTGCCAGCACCTCGAATGATGATTGGTTCTGGGACGGGTGCAACCATTTGATCTTCATAGTGCTCCTCCAGTTGTTCATCTTCATATATTGCATCAAAGTCAGCCATTGACCACTCAGAAGACCAGCAAAAGCGAGATACTAAAGAATTAAGTGTCAAGGATGACTGCGAAGTATTGACAGACTCGCGAATATATGATTTGTAGTTGGTTTGCAACTGATTTTCTCTTATACCCGCCAAGCAATGTTTATCAGTAACAAATATATTACATTAATTCATTTCCAGGATTTTGTATGCCATTTCAATTTGAATAGTTTTTGTTGTTATTACGAGTAGAGCTAAGTTATAGTGTTTCTCTTTGCATCCCACAATAACTGCAATTCATTTCAATGCACTTTTGTTTGTATTGCATATTCCATTAAATAAATATCGTGGTATCTCACTATAGGTTTTTTTGCTGATTTCTGATAATCTTTAACGTATTCTGGAGTTTAGTTATGATAAAAAATATAAGTAATAGTACTGAAAATTTACGGTACAAGACAATAAAAGATATATTTAATAATATTTAATGATATTACCAATGAGAAAAATACATTCAACAAATATCATTCATTAATACAACCAGCTGTTCGGAGTATCGAAATCACTCCTTATTATCGATGAAAGAATCATTTGAATGACTATTATGCTACTAAGGAATAGTGGTATCTATTTTACAACAAATTATTGATTTGATTTTTTATCTGAATTCCTTTAGGGTTTTTCCAATCGTTGTTATGTAGAATTATATTTTATAAATAAAATCTTGCTTTATCGATAGAAAAAATAAATGGGTTGACTATCGATACTTTTCAAACACTTTGGGTTGCGAACAGCTGCCACAAACAAAAACATAAAGTAAGACGAGATTCAGGAAAAGAAAACGTCGAAAATGCACAACTGCATTGTACTACTGTGAACGAATTAAAGAGATATACAAAAGTATTCTTTCTATGTATGCGATTATCACCTTATACCTTATTTACTATTTTCAATTATACAAAGCACAAACTTGATGTGAACTCAAACTAATCGCATATTGATTTGCACTGTTGTAATACCACATTCAACAATTATATGTAATACTATACGAATGCTATTTAACATCCCTTTTATTACTTTCATATAATTGCCACATACTTCGATACAACCTTTCGCAATTATCACAATTCATCAAAATTAGCTTCACATAATTTGTTTATCCACTGCTGCTACAGTATTTGCAGTACAATTAATACAAAATGTTTCCTTATTAATGTCTGTACTTTTTATTTGGCTTTGCACTTCATTTGTTAATAACAATTTTCCGAATACAATTAAAAACAAATCTCTACCAATGGCAAAATTGTATTTTTGATCCCTTTTGTTTTATAACCAATACCAGCCTTGCCATATCCATAAAAATAATTCATTGGAGAACTGCATATTGTTACCGAAGGTCCTAAATATAAGATATTTTCTGCTTCTATTAGGTAAAATTTTAACTACCAATTACGTTTGGTTTGAACTTTTCAAAATTTGACACATTGCTATATTATAATTTATATTTAACGTGTTTAAAATTAATGACTTTTCCCAAATAATTTTTAAAATTGTATTCGATAAAAAACTTAAAGCTAAAACAACGCTGCAACCAAACACTTTAACCAAAAGTTAGCTGCAATGAATTATTGCATTGCTATTCACAATATAGTGTCTATAGATAATTACTATTGTCCATGTTGTCCGCTTATTTGGTTAAGAATTAAAATTCCTCGTTTTAGCAATTTGTAAGAAAGTTTGCAAGTTTAGTTTACCATAATGGGAGTTCCAGCATTTTTTAGATGGTTAAGTAAAAAATATGCATGCGTCATCGTTGATTGTGTAGAAAACAAGAATTTGGATCCGAACACCGGAGAAACAATATACGAAGACGCTACCCTCCCAAATCCTAATGGAGTTGAGTTTGATAATCTATATTTGGATATGAATGGTATTATACATCCATGCACACATCCTGAAGACAAGCCAGCCCCAAAAAATGAGGATGAAATGATGGTAGCAATATTTGAATGTATTGATCGATTGTTTGGCATTGTTCGCCCACGAAAATTATTATATATGGCAATTGACGGTGTAGCGCCAAGGGCGAAAATGAATCAACAGCGGTCGCGGCGTTTCAGAGCTGCTAAGGAAACAAATGAAAAGCGAATGGAAATACAAAAAATTAGAGACGAACTTTTAGTCAAGGGATATATACTTCCACCTGAGAAAACTGACAAGGAACACTTCGATTCCAATTGTATAACACCAGGTACACCGTTTATGGACAGATTAAGTAAGTGTTTACATTATTATATCCACGACCGTATGAACACAAACCCAGCTTGGAAAGGAATAAAAGTTGTATTGTCAGATGCGAATGTCCCCGGTGAAGGTGAACACAAAATAATGGACTATATTCGTAAACAAAGGGCTCAGCCAGATCACGATGCCAATACTCAACATGTGCTTTGTGGTGCAGATGCAGATTTGATTATGTTAGGACTTGCTACTCATGAACCGAATTTCACAATTATACGAGAAGAGTTTTTACCAAACAAACCTCGCCCATGTGAGATATGTAAACAATATGGACATGAAATGCAGAAATGTGTAGGACTAGGAAACGCAAGTGGGTCGAAAGATGAAAGCTTTAAGCCGGACGTTCCAATAAACGCTGAAGTTAGATTTATTTTTGTAAGATTGAGTGTTCTTCGAGAATATCTTAAAAAGACTTTAGAAATGCCAAATTTGCCATTTAAATATGATTTTGAGCGCGCTTTGGATGATTGGGTTTTTATGTGCTTCTTTGTTGGAAACGACTTTTTACCACATTTACCAAGTCTTGAAATTAGGGAAGGCGCAGTGGATCGCTTGGTGGAATTGTATAAAAAATGTGTATATAAGACTGGGGGTTATTTAACGAATTCAGGTGAAGTCAATCTGCAACGTGTTCAAATGATTCTAACTGATTTGGGTAATGTTGAAGATAATATATTTAAAGAGAGACAACGACGGGAGCAGATATTTAAGGCAAGACAGAAACGCCAGCGAGAAAATGAATATAAAGCTGAAAGCCTTAGTGTGTCCTCATTTTTTCAACCAACTGCTGTAAATCGAGGTGCATCGAATTCACAACCAGCATTCAACTATAAAGAAGAAGCTGTAAAATTGAGAACTCAAAATAATAAAGGCGTTAAAAGGACAGCTGCAGAAGCAGGTCTTGATAACGATTCTGACGAAAATGACAATGACGAGGTTAGATTGTACGAAGCTGGTTTTAAAAATCGGTATTACGAATCGAAGTTTGATGTTGGTACTAATAATCAAGGCTTTCGATATTCCGTTGCATTGCAATATGTGCGCGGACTTTGCTGGGTTCTAAAATATTATTATCAAGGTTGTGCATCATGGGATTGGTATTTTCCATACCATTACGCACCATTTGCATCCGATTTCGTGAACATTACTGGCTTATCGACCAATTTTGACAAGGGTACAAAACCGTTTAATCCACTAGAACAGTTAATGGGGGTATTTCCCGCCGCCAGTTCTTCTCATGTTCCAAAACCATGGGCAACATTAATGTCTGATCCAGATTCACCAATTATTGATTTTTATCCCGAGGACTTTAAAATCGATTTAAATGGAAAAAAGTTTGCTTGGCAAGGAGTAGCTTTACTTCCTTTTGTTGACGAGCGGCGGCTTTTTAAAGCTCTTGAGCCTTTTTATAAAAAATTAACAGAGGAGGAAGTCCGGCGAAATAAGAGAGGCGATAATCGTTTATATATTGGACAATTGCATAATAAATTTGAATGGATGAAACATCAATTGAAATCACTTAATTCTATGGACAAAGAAATAAAGGTGGTTTTGGATAGAATGGCTGGAAGTATTTTAGAAGCAGAAGATAATATAAAAATCTCAGGCACATTGACATCACCAATAAATGGCTTACCTAATATAATGTCAAACGAGATTATAACCTTCCGTTTTCGGGATCCAGAATATGACAGTGATTTTATTTTTCCTGCCATACGTCTTACTAATGCAATAGACCCACCAAATGTCTTAAACTCTAGACCAGAAGGCCAGTCTGGTCACAATAGACCAGTTATTGGTTTCAATAGAAACCTACCAACTGGACATTTAAGTGCCGGTGGACACAGAATGGTTCAAGCCAGTTTGGGAAGGAACTCTTATAACATGGGTGGAAACAATCGAGGACATTATCCTCGAGGACCAAATCCTCAACAGAATTTTCAATCTAGATCTGGTTACAACAATTTTCAGAACAATCATGGAAACAACTTCTCTGGTGGTAATAATTACAGAAATAACCAACAAAACCCGCCTAGAGGTGGACATCAAAACAATAGATTTCAGAGGTATAATCCATATGGGCAACCCAATAATAGATTTTAAGCATTTTAGAAATAATCGTATTCCTTAATTTTGAAAAAAGATTTATAGAAGGTAATTGATTAATATATGTATATATGATATTATGTACAAAAAAATAAAATAAAATAAAATTATATGGTGAATTTTATATGAGCCCATTATAAAGATAACAATGTTTTTCTTTTGAGCGTAAAGATCAATCATTTCTCACAGTAATGAAGATTTAAAGAATGATTACTATACTGAAAAATCAAAATTACACATATTGAATGAAAAACCAATATTATCCGAAATGCTTTTGGTCGGAATACACCTGGAATCATTTTCTTATATTATTAAAAAAATAAAAAACACATTATTTAGATAAAGGCATTTTATTTGGTATCGCGAAATGAATGTGTGCACGGCTTTATGTTCTGTTCGCTAAAAATGTATAAAATTGATAAGAAACTTTTTTGTTTTAAAAGTTAATGAATAATGTAAGGATAATCTATTGAAATAAACTTATAGAATTTACACTAGATTATTTAAACGTCAAAAGCGGAACATTTACAACTTAGCAATGTAAAAAAAAATATTTTTTAAGCCTAATCGAACCGTTTAGGAGATTACCATTAGTTTTGTTGATGTTTTACTTCTTCTTTGCATTTGGACTTGTTGACTGGAATACAGAGGAAGCTGACATTAAATTTTCTATGTATTGTCCAAGCACTTGATTCTCAGAACGTAATTTTAAATTTTCTTCCTTCACAGAATCAACACGCTGTGAAAGATCGTCAAGAGTATTTTGCAGTTCCAATACTTGTGTAATAAGGCGAGCTTTTTCTTCCTTCTCATCGGGACTTACATCTACTTCTAATGAATTGTGTGATGAGTCAGGAGTGGAGCTGCGGTTAGTAAATGACGAGCGGAGCGAATCCATCGAATGCCCATTTGGCATATGTTGATGTGGATCATCATCATTAATTATTACTATAATAAAATATTATAAGTGGTTGTCACGTACAATTACATATTGTAATTACCTTGTGTATCCTCATCGGCCAATGGGATGTTGTCATCAGGCTCTTGTAACTTATCGATTAGTGACATACTTTTAAAATTGTTATTGAATGTTGAATTTCGAATTTTTAATTGTCGTACTATAACTCGTACGAAATAATAATAATTAGTTAATGCAGCTTTTACTAAATATATATATATATATATATATATATATATTCTAATTAAATAGTAATTAAATTATCAAATTCACAATCTTCAACTATTTCAATAATATACACCAAACTCTTCTATTTGATTGACAGTAACAGGGTTGCTCAAGCTACTGAAATGACGGAAAAGTAAAAAGTAAACTGTCATAAACAGATTGGGAAGAAAAGAAAAGTTAGCAAAATTAAAACTAAAGAACAAAAAAGTAGTTAAGACAAATTTATTACAGATACAAATTTGAATTATAGTTTTGTATTTAGTAATATATTCTAATACCATTAGTACGTCTCTTTCTTTGTATAAACCTAGATTTATACAATGGTATGCTCCGAGCGTAGGCATTATAGGCGGATATTATTGCGTGTTCCGCTAGGGCGCGGAAGTTAATGAAGTTTAATGTACATATATGTATATTTTTTACATTTCTTTTATTTTCGGTAATAGATATTTTCGATATATCAATTTAATTTGTATTAAACTTTCTAAACACAGCGCACCGATTTGTTATTAGCTAGACCTATATTATTGTTAATAACAAACAATATCTGCATTTCATTAAATTCAAGTTCATTCAAATTAAAATATTTTAAACAACTTTTCTCATTAAAATCAGCAGAATTTGTTTTATTTTTAGCAAAGTGATGTTTACAATTTTCGCTGCAGTTGTTGTAGCGGCAGAATTCTGTTGAGCTTACAGTTATTGGCCGGATAAAATCCGGGTCCGTTCCGGTTACGTAGACCCGACTGTCGCGAGAACGCTCCAATTGTTGTTGTTGTTGTAGCGGCAGAATTCTGCGGAGTTGACAGTCCTTGACCGAATAAAATCCGGGTCCATTCCGGGTACGTAGACCCGACTCGTGGGAACGCTCCAGGCGTTTTCTATACCTATCATAGATACCTCTGGCTGTTGCTGGGTCTAGTGGTTTTGTTGTGGTATTTGTCCTGTTTCTGTATATTGCGTTGTGCTGCATCTTTTGAACATTGCGTACTCATTAACATGCAAATGTACAAAGTATATTAATATAGATATATAATAGATCTGTTAAATGTAACTCTTTTAATCCAAATGTTCGAAGTTCATTATTATAATATAAAAGCCAACAAAGTAAAACATCCAATGTGTCTTCAAATAATGTGATATCACTAAGAAAGTGGAAATTACTTGTTTGTTGAATGTAAAGATAGCGACAAAGTGTATAATATAAATGTACCATATTTGCTATCAATCGTTACCTGTTTTTCTCTTGGCATAAAACGCAATTAGAACACATGAAATTATGTACCTTAATAATATATATGTATAAATAACTCTCGTAATATACTATATAAGTAGGTACGTATGACTACGTTCATATGCATATGAACAGGTATATGTACATTTATGTAATATTGTTTTTTACCACCTCTTAAGCTATTTTAAAAACTGTTATTCATTTTATTCTGCTTAACATTTTTGAAAGTAAATTATTAATCATCATACGATTTTTTTTTACTATTTCGATGAAGGAGTTCAACGGTGTCAATATAAAGTATTTGTGAATACAGATTATGGACTTTGCGTGCCATATTTGAGACTCAATGTCACCAAACTTCACAAATTGAAAATGAAAATTTTCTTTTATGGGCCGTTTCTTTGTACATACATATGTGTACACAAATGCTCACGCAAGTACATACATGCATACATATGTATGCATAAATGTACGTATGTTCCTCTGTAACATCTCTTAATCCTATACATACATATGTAATTTATTTATTATAAAAAAATATAAATTTCTAATAAACTTGATCATTTATTTCTATTCTAAAAGAAGTATAACTAATTATTAGTAATAGTTAAACGTTGTAGATATTGAATTCTTTTTGTAATTTAAGATTTAAATTCTAGATAATTAAAAAATAATTAATTAATACATTTAAAATGAATATTACATTAATAAATGAATATTTATATATAATATGAGCACCCCCAGTCTAATTTATAGGTTATGTTCGACATATGTAATAATAGCATACATACATATATGTATGTCATACATATATTTATTATTCTTTCGAATACTTCAAATATAGTATTAAGTACTTTATATTTCCAAAAATAAAGGTATTATTGAATATTTATTATCATTCATAATTACATAGATGCATGTGTACATGTCCGTAAAAAAATACTATTGTTGAACACACTTGTTTAGATCAACTTGTGAACGAGAATTCATTACTTTTGATTACAATTGAAGATATGTTTACGAAACCCTTTACCTAATAATCCTTAATAAATTCAAAGTTTAAAAGCAAAACTTTTATCTAAAATCATTCAATTGCAAGGTTACAATAAATTTGTAGTAAAAAAAAGGTTACTTCCTCTGCCACAAAACGTGAGGAAGGTACTACGTGATTAAAAAGTACACAAGCGCACAATAACAACGCAACACTGGTAATCATACAATACGATTTCAGTTCAACTAGAGCAAATACAAACACTTTGCTAAAACATTGCTGTGTTTTATACTCATTATTTTGATTTGCCGTTGTCAAAAAGAAGTACAATTTTGATTGAAAACCGAGTTTGTACGCAGTGTATTTGGTATTTTGAATAGTATTAATATAAAATGTAAGAAATAGCGGGGTTTTAACTTTGATACCAGGACTATAAAATTCGAAAAAGTTGGAGGCAGCACTGCCACCCTACCAACGCGTCGCAGTCAACGTCGCAGTAGCGTTGCCATCATTGTACCCATCATATTTCGTTCGTTTCAATCTATCCGCGGTTCAGAGGAGCAGAGCGAGACTTTTAAATGCGCCCAGAATCCTTCCGGATATAAAACGCGGCAGGTAAAAATGTGATAAAAATATAATAAAAGTCATTGCAAATATCTGTACAAGAAAATATATAAATAACTCCACCGTATTGTGCCAAATTTTTTCCAACCTTTAAAAGGAAAAATCTAATTGAAAGTGTTAAAACAAGAAATGCATCTATATACATACTTATATTCTGAAAATTAAAAACAAAAGACATATTAAATAATTACTGATTTCTTAACTGTCAAGGCTAATGTAAAGTCAATAAATACTTCATCAACATCATCAACGTATAAACAACGAAAACTGGAATCATTCTTAACTGATCCTGATGTAACTAAAATTAAGAAATAGTATAAAGTACATTTGGTATGAATAAAAAGCTAATTGTAATTGTGTAATCAACTGATTAACAATCCATTAACAAAATTTTTTCATTAGATATAAGCACACGCTTGTATTTCATTTTAGTGGGAACTTTTCTTCAGCTTTTGCAACTGCAAATCCAAACCCCAGGAATAGTACAAATTATGAATAATAGTGACGGAGATACTACTGGTACAAATCTTGTTGGTCGCAGGTCCAATAGTATTGTGACAACAAATTTAAACAGCAATAGTACATTAAATTACATACCCCGTGTGGCATTCATTACACCAACTGTTGAGCCCACAACCTTTCCTCTGAGCACTGGTAATGTAAATACAATGCAGACATGTTCATCATCCGCTCCATCTATGATAAACGTAATTACTTGTGCCGGCAACGTCATGAATAGCCAACTTAATAACGCAGGTTTCGTAATGGCAAAAAATGGTCATAGCTCTACTGTGTCGGTATCGGAAGACACTGTGCCTATTTACACTGGTGCTAATGGAGGTGCAAGCTCAACCCCGTCAAACAGTAAAGCTATTCAAGCAGATGGAACAAATATCAAAGAAGAAGGAGAAGTTGTGGAAATGTTACATAATTCTGGTGAGTTTCAACTGCTTTTGAAATTGGTTAACATTATTCTAAGGCAATGTTATCTGCTCTTTAATTATATTAAAATAAATGTTTATGTTACTTTTTGTGCTTAATATAATTTTGGTAGCTGCCATTTTCTATACCAACCAATTATGTAATGCATAATGAACAAATGTACATATGTAAAAATGCCTATGTGCTCAATAAATCGTTTTTTACCGCTACTGCAAATTGATCGTGTCCAAAAAAGTGTCCAATTAACCATATTTGAATAATTCTATCGGTTCAAGTAATTTTTGAATTTATACATATATTATCAATATATAGTTATTTTGTAAATTCAAAAGATTGTTAAATATGTACACATGCGTGTGCAATCAATCTGTATCAATCGATCTGAATATTTTAAACACCAGCATACAAATGAAAAGTGAAACGAAATAGTTGTGCCGCCGGCATTTTTAAACATTTCTTAAATATTCACTTTAATAGTTAATACTTTCGTACGTTTTTATAATATTAATATTTTCAACCATTAACCCGCACAATATATACACATACATGTATTATTAGAAACATTAAAATTATAGATAAAAAGTATACAAGTATCATTAAAGAAAATAATTATATACATAATGAATAAAGTGTTATCTAAATCATCGCACTAATTTTTATCATATTAAGAATTCGTCATTTTTTTATAAAACGTGTATTCTTATACATATGTGAATGTGTGTAAGTAAGCATATAAATACATATGTAGATATGTACAATGAATAAAGATGTACATTAAGGTGATCGAAAACTAGTTTCACAATTAAATTGTGTTTATTTTAGAAACTCGTCAAAAATAGAATATATCATCAGTTCTTGCCTCTTAACAACAAATTGTGTAGGATAAGTGCTGTATTGTGTGGGTGTTACACATTCTTAATAGACTAATTTACATAAATTTCTCTCGTCGAACTTTTATGGAGGCAAAATTTCTGTTCTCAAGCCGAGCTTTAAAAAGTACATATTTGGTGTATTTGAATTTCCAACAATTTCTCTCTTAGTATAAGCTTTCGATAATAAAACCAACAATTAACAAAATTCGAATAAACGACGACCTTAGTATGTACAGATACGCTAACGATAAAATGCAACCCTGTGTCAATGCAAGTAATAAGAAACAAACCTGCATCCTTATTATTTAACAATTTTTGCTGTTTATTTCAATTGAGAGCTCCAACCAAAGTGTAACGATTGTGATTAAAAAATGGAGTTTTGTTTAGATAAAGGTAATAATAAAAAAAATCCTTACTTTTCGCTTTAAATTATTTAACTATTATACTGTTCGGTTCTATTTTGATGCATAAAGTTTTGCTGCTTAAATATTGAAAATTGCATCTTCAATTGCAGTAATATAAAAAGCAATATGTAAAAGTAAATGGAGTAATAAAATCAAAAAAAAATTTAAAATGTATTTTAATATTTCCTTATCCGAAATTATTAAAATCTGGCCTTCTGCCAATTCTCTATTTGGAATAATTTATCAAATAAATCAATGAAAAAGTCTGTTAAAAATTAATATACACAACATGGTAGTTAGAAAGAAATATTACTACATTGTTATATTAATCCATGCAGATGCTTGACTGCAATATTTATGTTGCACTTTACATTTTACTAAATTTTGTTCATTTCAGTAATACCAGCTTCTATACTAGTCCGCAATCGACAACAATACGCTTCACCTGGGAGCGCCAAAAGTACGGTTGGCACATCAACTCGCAGTGGTGTTGGGAATCAGTCGACTTCTCTAACAATATTGAATCAAGAACTTGTGAAACAAATCGTAGTTGGTAAACCACCAAAAAATTGTGGTTTAACACAATTAGCCTCAACAACTACAAACAATACTCTTAATTTATCTCAAACTCTTCTGAAGTCGCCATCAACAATGACCAATCTTGGAGGAATCAAGCACCAAAGTTCTTCCAACAAATCTACAACAATTCTGACGAAAGCACCAGTATCTACTACTCCACCAACTACCACAAGCTCAATCGGTATAACTCCAAATCAGAAGAAACAGTCTCAACAAATCAATGCATTCCAAAATGCAAGTGTATTACAACCCCCTATTAATGCTAAACTCCCCCTTTCAGAAGCTGCCAAACTAGCAGCAGGTGATTCAAGTATAATAAGCCAAAGTAACTTACGCAAAGAGTTAAGAACTGATGAGTGTACTACAGATTTTTCATTTAACCGACTACAAAGTATACCTCAATCATCTACTTCATCACCAGAGCCATCAATTCAAACGAAAGTGGCCGCCATGAAAACTGCTTCCATTACCAATTCAACAGTTAATAATAGCAGTTCGTTTAAGGTAGAAATCGATCTGACTAAACCTGTTTTAGTTCAAGCAAAACTTGTTGAAAAACAGGAATCGCTTCTTAAAGTACGCCCTGTTCAACGTGTTATTGAAAGTAGCACTAGTCCTCGTTCTAAACGGTCTAAATCACTGAGCTGTGCTTTCAAGGAGGTTCACCTAACGAATGCCCCAATTATGTTGAAACAGAGACAAACTTCTTTACTAACAACCCAACATACATTGTCAGAGCGTCGTCATTCGACAACATCTGAAGGAAAAAATCTAAAACACAAAGCTAGTCCCCCGCGACGTAAACAAACGTTAAATTCCAAATGTAATGTTATTGAAAACGAATATGAGATCATAGATTTGATTGACTATAATGAGGCGAACTCCAAAATAAACGCTGATGAGGAACAAAAAACAAATCAAGAAAAAGAAAATAATATCAAAGGATCCTCAATGGCGGAAGGCATAGTAGAAAACCAACAAGAGTTTGCAAACAATATGCAACCACCACCACCACTTAAAGATACGGATAGAAATTCATTATATAATATTGCCAAAAAAGTTATTACAGATATTCCAAATAAAGAGGAACCGTCAACATTCTCATCTACTGAAAAAATTTCGGAAAAATATGCATGTATCGAAAACGACCATATTGAGGACATATCAAAAAACACTGATATTATAATGAAAGATGTTGAAACTGAACCAGAAGAACAACAAACTATTTACTTTGAGAAGACCGAAACTTTAATCCAGAACTCAAAAGCTGAAGATACACACACCTCTGTAGAGCACACTCAAGATTCGTTGGAAAAATCACTTTATTGTGATGAAAAAATCTCAGTTAGTTCAACATCATCTGCATCTACCTCTGCCAGTCAGCAAAGTTTGCATGATGATTTACAAATGTCGTCGGCTTCAAACGTTACACAAAACATGTCAGCCAAACTAAACCAACCCAGCACTTCGGCAGCTGCTGGCAATATGTTAACAGCACCTCCTGTAAAAGCCATTACAACCGCTGTAGAAGACGCATTATCGTGTGCTTTAAAAATGTTATCAAACTTCAATATGCTAACCTGGAATCAACGTGTCGGTAGTGCACGTGGTACTAATATGCGTTTCCAATTGAACGAATTTAATCTTATTGAAATAAATGAACGCTGCGCGCCACGAACACGTATCCACACAGCTTATGAAAAGCCAATTTATGAGCGAGAAACGGTACCATATTTAAGTGAAAATCACAATGGTTTATTGTATTTATGTAGGCGATGTAATTGTCATGGACCAGCGCTGGATTTTTTGGCACCAGGTAATTATACACAAACGAGGTTAATCATGCCGATAATATGAATAACTAACATAAATTTTATTTCTTGAAGAATTTTGTTCTTTGGATTGTTTGAAACGAGAGTCCCGTAAACGTCGGCATGAGGAATATACCACTTTTTCACGCAAGCGAAAAACCCAAGAATCGGCTGTTCCAGCTCCCAGCAAAAAATCATTCCGTTGGTCAACATATCTCCCAGAAAAGTTCAATGCCATCGCAGCACCTGTAAATCTATTTATTAATCCATTTCCAACTGGACCCAATCGTTTTCAGATTGGCATGAAATTAGAAGCTATTGATCCAGAGAACTGTTCACTCTTTTGTGTATGCACGATTGTTGATATACAAGGGTATCGCTTGAAGTTAACATTTGATGGTTATGAATATATGTACGACTTTTGGGTGAATGCCGATTCTATGGATATTTTTCCACCAGGTTGGTGTACGAAAACAAAACGCATTTTGCAGCCACCAAAAGGAAAAACTATTGATAAATTTAACTGGCTACAATACTTAACAGAATGTAAAGCTATAGCAGCCCAACGTGCTCTATTTACACATTTGAATGTATCTTTGGGTACACATAATCCATTTAAGGTAAAGGATATTTAATTTGTACATTCAATTTGCAAAAAAAAATACGCAATAAAACATTTACATATTTGATTTACTAAACTTTTTCATAGATTGGAATGCATTTGGAAGCCGAAGATCTTAACGACACCGGCAAGCTATGTGTTGCCTCAGTTTCGGATGTGTTAGACAATCGCATTCGTGTACATTTCGATGGTTGGGATGATTGCTACGACTACTGGGTGGATATTAGTTCACCCTATATACATCCTTGTGGTTGGCATGTAGGACGACAACAATTAATCGTACCACCTGAATTTGAAAATACTACTTTCTCGTGGGGTGATTATATAAAAAATCATGGCAGTGGCATGGCCGCAACAGAAGAGATGTTTTCCACCCGCGATCCAATAGATTTCAAGCCGAATATGAAACTGGAGGTTGTCGATCCACGTAATCCCTCACTAATACGCCCTGCTACAGTTATCGGTCGCAAAGGACATCGCGTTAAGCTACATCTGGATTGCTGGCCAAGTAATTATTGCTTTTGGTTGGAAGATGATAGTGCGGATTTGCATCCGATTGGTTGGTGTGAAGCTACTAGTCATGATCTAGAACCCCCACCTGGTTATAAAATGCGCTCAACAAAGGTGGTATGCTCAACTTTTGGATGCCGCGGCATCGGTAATGCCAAACGGCTTTATTTAAATACGCATACTACACAAGATTGCTGCCCATACGCAGCGGAAAACTGGCGACAAAAAAGCGAAAAGCCGCCGCGTTTGGAGCATGAAGAGATTGTACGACCAGAAATAATGGGTAAGCGAGATATGAAACAAAAGCAGCCAACATTAAAATGGAAGCAAACGCAGCCACCTCAACCACATTTGAACGAAGCGGATATATTACAACACATTCAACTTTTGGACAACATAAAAACTCGTCACGTAATTCAGCAGGAAAAACAGCAGCAAAAACAAACTTTGCAAGAAAGTGCTAACAGAATCGAAATCGGTTCTGCAAGAGATCAACAACAACTATCTTTAATAAAAACTGAACGCACTGACAAGTCCACTGCAACCGCTGTAAGAGTTCACCAACCGGTAGACAGTACCACTGCGGAACAATCAACGTCTCTTCTAATTCCACAAATAAAGATTGCCAAAGAGTTTCTCTGTGACTATGGTCCGCGTCTGCAACAAAACTATAATATTTGGCAGCGTAATGTCGCTTTCGATATGCAACGTATTAAACGCAACCCTCTGCTGTGGTCAACAAAGGATACGTGTGCATTTGTTCAATGTGTACTACGAAATGCCGATATAACTGAAATGTTTTTGCGTGAAGATATCGATGGTAGTGCACTTTTGCTGCTTCAACAATCCGATCTTACCGACATTCTCGATTTGAAATTAGGGCCCGCCGTTAAGTTGTTTTCGTGTATTCTTCAATTACGCACACTAGCCGTTCTCAAGTTCAATGTAAAGTTAGGCACCACACAAAGTAGCAATTAACAATATACTCATTGCAGTGTGCTCCCTAGCCAAGATTGTTTTCCATAGATATACGTATATGTATATTCACACGTTAATTTCTTATTGATATGACAAAGACATAAATATGTACATAGTATATGTTGTTGAATAACAATACAATAATTCTTTAATTCAAATTGGTACAGATAGAGAACGGTGATGCGTTTGTATATTTTAGATTTGCCTAAAATTGTTTTTATTAGCAGTTAAGTTATTATAATATTTTTGCCATATTTATGTATATAGAAACATTCAATTTGTTGCACTTACAACTCTTCCAGGCAATACTTTTTTTTATTATTAAGTTTGCATATTTAGCCAGTATCAAAGCGATCCATGTAAGTTTGAATTTACAACTCTTTAATATATGGGCGAAATGTGGAAGCCTACAGCATCCACACTATTGATCTGTAAATAACGAATTTACATTGTGTAGATTTTTTATTGTAAAACTGTAAAAGAAATGATCAATCATGATAATAAATATATTAAACCATATCCACATTACAAATTTTAAAACAATTCCCACAACAGCCGGTTCTACGTTACCGGAATTGACCCGGATTTTATCCGGCCAAGGGCTGTCATTTCGGCGATCTAACTCTGTTTGGATCGGTAAGTGTTAGTTTAAGTTTGTCGTCATTAGAGCAACACCTAGCAGCAGGGTTGCTCCGTATCCTCTTGACCCGCGCTGGCATCGAGTCCAACCTGGGCCCCGAGGAATTCTCTTGCTGCATATGCGCTAAAAGGCTCCACTCAAACTCCACCTCAGTTAGGTGCAATACATGCAATAGATGGAGCCATCTTAAGACCTATAGGGAGTGGACCACGAGTTACGTGGCCCTATGCTGCCAACGCAATACTGCGACACCGGCCTTAACGGCTGTGCAACTGCACCATGTTCGCGCACTGCTCCGCCAATCCAGTCGAGTGGCCAAGAAAGGACCTCTACGGCCCTAAGGAGCTCTAGCCAGCATGACTCCCAGTCTGACCAACCACTAAATCCACAGCGACCATTTTTACAAATTGGACGAAAGAGTACAGATTGGATCTGAACATTTCAGTCAATGGCACAAAAACTCCGGAAGTCAATAACCCTAAAATTTTAGGCGTTACATTGGACAGTCTGTGCTCATTCACTCCTCATACGACCGCGATAACTGCCAAAGTACAGAGCCGCAACAAAATCCTCTAATCGCTTGCCGGCAGCTCTTGGGGAAAAGGAAACAAAAAAAACGTTGTTGGCAATATACAAGGCAATCGGCCGACCGGTCCTAAACTATGCATTACCAATATGGTCGCCTGGATGTAGTGCAATGCAGACGAAGAAGCTTTAGACTTCAGGTCATTCCTTGATTACGTCGACGACATCACAGTACGCCGACCGGACTTCGGACGCAACGAACTATAGACAAGCACTGACCGCCATTCAGTGAAGCCATTAACACCTTCATCGACTCCCTCTCAGTGCATGGCGTACTAGGAGTCAAACCACCACCCATAACAGACGTGATCCTCGCACAACTTCGTTCTGGATATTGTAGCAGGTTAAACTTCTACTTATCCAGAATTGACCCCGATATTCCAAACATATATCCTGCGTGCAATGAGGCTCCGCATGATATAATAATAACCACCTCTTTGGATGCCCAACAAACCCAACTCATCTAACACCTTTTTCCCTATGGTCCGACTCAGTCGAAACAGCTTGTTTCTTGGGCCTCCCATTAGATGACCTCGACGACAACCAAACTACTACTATATAACCGCTACAACAACAACAACAAATTTTAAAACTATAGCGTTACAACGACAGTAGGGTCTACGTAACCAGGCGGAACCGAATTACTGACCGACTAAATCTGATGTCAGAGGGGAAGTGAGAAACTATGGGTGCGTTCGAGCTACGTAATAATTGCCGCAGTACAGCTACTGTGTGTGTGTGTGTGTTGCAGCAGAACGTGATACTTTGACAAATTTGCAACACTGCTGTTGTGATTGCCATCTCGAACACGCCCTATGCTATAAGATGGCGCTACTTCTAGCTATAAATCGATGCATGTGTCGTCTTCTATAAATCGTTCAAAACTATCACAGTGAGAACGAGCACCACAGCAACAGCAACTTCTAGAGACCAAAGCGACAAAGCAGATGGTGCAGTGGTTTCTCGCTTAAACTCTCTTTGCTATTTTTAGTAATTGTTTTCTTATTTATTGTTTCTCATTTTTTTTTGTTTAAGTTTGATTTCAGATTTGATGTAGGCACACTGATTAATGAGATTTTTTGTTGCGTCCAATATTGTGGGATCAAAAAAATTAAGTTCGAAATAAAAACCTCTTCGTCTGAATCCATCGATCACACTGAAATCTTAAAAGCTAATGCAGCAGTTCGCCTCGCTTGGCCCCTTTCACTCTGGCATCCTATAGCCTCGCAGCATTTATCCAAGTTATTTTAGGAATATTTTCTGCCGCTTCATTAACAACGTGTAGTGTTCCCACCTTGATTTTTGCTTAGAATAGACCTGAAGAGTCCAATTTGGCTGGGCCGATAGCACCATTGGCCATTTAAAATTATGTAAAACGAATCTAACTGCTAAATGTTATTTTAAATTAACATATAATTATTTGGTTTGTATTTTGTTAAACAAATATGATTTTGCAGGTCCCGAATCGAAATCTCCTTTTGATAGCTTGTTAAGATCCAACAGACATGCGGCCTCCACCAATTTTAGAAACTGTTCAGATTCTCGATTTTCATGTAACTTATTTCGACGTCCATATTCTTCCAGCTTTTGCAGCATTAATTTTGGTGATATATGTGGCTGTTGCGAAACTAATATTACCACCCGTTTCAGATGGTTGACATTCAGTTCATAGAAGGAATTGACAGATAACAACTTCTCGACGTATTTCGTTATTTCCTAAAAGTAGTCCAGCATTTAATTACGTATAAAAATAAAATACCTGCTTATGTGTAGCAAATACCTCATAACATAACAATAATAACGGTAAGATTTCATGAAGGCATGCCAAATCAAACATTGGCCACACGTCTCCTATTGTCCAATTGTGTTTACTTCTCAAATGTTTTACTAATTCATCAGTTAAATCTTGCATCATGTACTTGTCTGCTAAATAAAATAATTCCCCTAACTCTTCCAACGATAGAGATTGTTCTGTTTCTATTTCATATATATAAACATAACGCAAGAAACGTTCAAAACTTTTGGGATCTACCTCTGTTATATGTACTGGCCCATTAACTTTGAACTCACTATAAAACATCCGTTCGAAAACTTCAGAGGCGGTTGCTAAAATCATTTTATGACAAAGAAAGCGCTTTGGTTCCTCATTTGGTGAATCTCCAACAACAAATTCGCAGTCAGCAAGATGGTGATCATCGTGAAGAAGTCGTTTACGTCTTTCCTTACTATTAGACATTCTGCTGTCCAGGTGTTTATTATTATTAATATATATTTATTATAAAAACTAAATTTTACTTGCCGTTTACAAAACATATTTATATTAAGATACGTGTTTTATTTAAAAACAAGAGTAGATTTTGAAGCTTGATATGAAAACCCTTTACGATGTCTTGAAGAGTTGATATCAAAAGTAACAAAACAAACTATGAGAAAATTCCTTAAAATTAAGATTTCTTCTCCAGATAAAAACAGTAGATTTCCTCTACTACTACATTTTAGGAATTTTCTAAACTAACCTAATTATGTACAAACAGACGAGTTCATATACTTCAAAAAACTATAAATATATAGATAAATTTGTTTAACTACTAACACTTTGCGTCCTTCAGAAAGTGATGGGTAAAAATATTTTCTTACATATTTTACGGTATTTAATGCAATCACTAACATATTGAAAGTAGAAACCAGAAGAAAGTAGTTTGAATTTGTTTTATATATATTTATCGTTTTAGTGTAATAGATGTTAATCTTTTACAGATTTTCAGGGTTGTTTAATTGCTTTCAATCAAAAAATAAAATAATAAGGTACATAATCGTACGTATTTGCAGAAGGTGATGTGATAAATATAGGTTCTTCGCTTGCGTTTACATGTATTCGTTTATTTAGAAGTCGTTACAAATACACATATATTGAATATGGCCAGTGATTTCGTAACCACATGAGGAGCAAAAATGTGTATAACATTGGAACGGTGAAATCGAAACAATTATTTAATAATCGGCCATTTTGTTTTGACCATTTTTAAATTAGCACATCATGAATAAATAAATATTCTACCAATATGAATAATTACATGAAATTATGACTTGTTTCTTCTAGGTAGAAGTGCTACATGATTTACTTTCTAGTTTTATAAATTTATGCCATTGCAATTCCATATTTTATGCTACTTTTTGTTCTTTTACTCATTAATCTATTACAAAAAGGAATAAATTATGGCAGTTTATTAGCTAAGTTAGGAAATTCAAAGTAATTTACTTAATACTGCTTGATGAAGATAATATATATATTTAATGTAATTATTAAGTTTATTGCGCTATTTATAACGACAAATACTTAATATAAAAGAAATGATAAATGTTTTTGCCTAATAACTTTCCGAACACCTCCAGCATTGACAACTTTACTTGCGCCATTTTCCACAGTAGAATACAGCCACACTGTTGGAAATTGATAGAGTTATGTTTCTTGCAAAGCCGATTGGAGGTAAACCACAATTTTGCGCTTATTTACAACGTTTTTGTGTAAAGGTTTTGAGCGCGAATTCTGCAAAACAATCGTAAACATAAAGTTCAGTTTTAACAAATATTGTTGTTATCAAAATTATTAAGTCACGTTTATTATAAAAGTGTTAAAAACGTTGTGGAAATCTAAAATTGACAACAAAAGTGAGTTTTAGTTCTCGAGATCGACAAATCGTTTCGTTCCTGTGTCATTACTTTTCCGCCTCATTCCGTATCTTGGGCTGTTTCTGTTGAAAGTCGTATTATATCGTGCAATCAGTAAAATTCGTTTGAAGCAAAAGTAGAAGCTATTTATTACGAGGACAAAATATTTGATTTAAGTTTTCACCAATTGAAAGGTTTGTGCATATGTGTATAATAAAAATGTCGCCGGTATTAAAAGTGTATTTCACCTGTGAGGGGGACGGTTTGGCAGTCAATGTGGTATTTGTACAAGTATTTGCTCCCACTGTGCGTGCTGTACTTTCAGGGTAGCCACACTGTGCATACACCTCGATACCCATGGGTCGGCCTACAAATTATGTTAGTTTATTAAAATTACTGTGACTACTTTTATATATTGGTTAAAATAAATCTCTTTTTATAACGTAAACAAGTTTTCTCTTTGGTGGGCTTAAATCAATTATTGATTCTACCAAGTTCATCCAAACATCATTTATGTATGTATATGATGTTTTGTATTGTAACGGCGGGAAAATATTTGTATAGCAAGACAATTTAAACTTTTAAACAATTATGCTAATAATTAATATATTTGTTAGTCGGAAAGACATTGTTTGCCATAAGTCGTGATTTTTCATCATTTCATATTCATTTCGTTTATAATTCATATTTATAAATAAACTTTTGTGTTTTAGTTAATGTTTAAGATTTGCTTACAATTAAAATATCAATCAACCGTGTTCAAATGGAGGAAATTTCAAGTTTAGACTCATTTCACACTGACGCTGAGTCTAGTGCTCGACCCGAGTCAGAGCCACCGAAATTAGATGAAGACACATCACAAGCCTCAATCGACAAAGTCGTGGATGGTGACGTCACGAAAGATACTGAAGACGGAAATAACGACGAGGATTTCGAACAAATTTCGGAAGGTTCATTTGACGTAGATGAAAACTCAAATGGAACTTCTTCAGGTGTACCCAAAGATGAAGGGAGTAGCACACAGGAGAAGTTGGCTAGTGGCGCATACGATGGGGATGAGGGTGGTGGTGTTGAGTGTGAAGGTGTCAATGAAGAAGAAAACAAAGAACCTGACACACTAGACAATAAAACTCAAGAGTCCACAGATTTCGAAGAAGTGGATGCTAATGTATCTGGTGGAGGTCATAATGCAGCCACTGATGAATCCGATATGTTGGGCGAGTCGGACATGACTTTGCCAACAGCAACAGAAGAGTTAGATGCTTCTGTGGAACCCGTTGACAAAGCGATTGAAACAAAGGATGCGGATAATCAAGCTGATAATGGAGGAATGGATGAACCTGGGGTCGATTTGCAAACGATAGATGGAGATGTGGATATGCCATCAATCACTAACTCGCCTGAAGAAAATTTAATAACAAGTGCTGCTATTGAAGATGAAAATGATAAAAAAGCTACAGAGAAATCAATTGACGAAGAAAGTCATGATATTACTGCTGAACAGCAAGATATCAGTATGGAAGCCCTGGAAGACGATGAGCCTTGTAATGAGAATAGTAAACCTGAGAGTGATGCTAAAGAAAAAAAACCGGATGTTGATGTAGAAGCCCAAGAAGAAGAAAACAAGAATGAAGAGGACGAAATTACTTATTTAGGTGGTGACAATAGCAAGCAACTCGATGCTACCGAAGAGAATGCCGATGCCACAAATAAAATCGCGGAAATAGTTACAAGTGAAGAACCTGAACCTGAACCTGAACATGAAACTGAACGGGAAGATGGTAAGTATGCACATTTATGATTTCAAATTAACAATTACTAAAGGTTCGATATGTTTTTAGAACCAGTTGAGAACGTCCAAGAACCAGAAGATTCGGATATTTGTCTTATACCAGATGACCCTGAGACTGAAGTAACACAAGCGGAAAAAGAACAAGCTATTTTGGCTCGGGAAAATGCCGAAAAAGAGGATGCAGAGGCTCAAAAACAAAGAGATATAGAAGCAGACACTGGTGATGCCGCAGTAGTTGAAGAAAATTCGATTTCAGAAAAAAATACCTCAGCTGCCATTGAAGATGACTCCGAGTTGTGTGACGCTAGAGGTGAGTCCGAATGCAAAGGATTGATATTTTTTAAAACATTGTCGATTATGTATCTATGTTGTTTTATAAGTAAAATTTTGGTTGATAGTTAAACCCTAGTATTTCTTTGTGTTATTCTAAATTTATTAAGTTGTCTACAAATATTGTTCAAAAGCGTATTATTTTTCTTTTTGTAAAATATTGAGTGTTAGTATGGTATAAGTTTCACTTTCAGCTATTCATTAGATAACATAGCTGTAATTCAATAGTGTAAATTTAAAAAATTCTTTTTTTTTTTTGGATAGTCGAAGCCAAAGCTCAAGCTGAATCAGCTGGAGCTGAAGCTGAAGCCGCTGATGCTGGCAGTGGCAGCAGCGAAGGTGAGCGCCTAATACTATTTATTAAAATAATATTTGTCTTATCGTACTTGATGAATGTAAACTATCATAATTACTTATAGTAAAGCTTAACATTCTATTAACGTAAGTTAAGAATTTTGTAAATATAACATTTTAATTTTTAAATCGAATTAATTAATTGTAAAACTAATGTATAATTTATATTTATTTAGGAATGCAGCTAAACACAGCAGAAGATATAGGAGAAGCGCCTGACGCTGACGAACCTTTATTAGAAGAAATGCAAACAAATACAACGGAAATGGGGTCATCACAAAAAATTATCATTGCTTGGATTATTTCATCAACACAAAAATGTATACAGTGTGATAACGAAAAAATGTGTGGCTTTCGATTTAAGAACCCCGAAAGCGGTAATTTTGACTATTTATGTGACCAAAATTGCTGCGATGCCATTTTATCAGCTCATCCTGGAAAGTATTTCATTCGAAGGAAAAAGTTTCTTATCGAAGAGTTAACGAATGAAGAAAAGGACGCCGATGCTATAGATAATGAAATTGATGGGAGTGCACCCATCGAGCCTGCAGAAAATTCTGCTGTAGCAGAGAAAGATGCAAACTGTCACACATGTTTACAGTGCAAGGAAGCAAAATTATGTAAATACTTTTTCCGTCAAGATGACGAGTACCACTACATTTGTAACGATATTTGTTACAACCTTTTAAATTCAGAGGAGCCTGAAAAATTTAAATTGAAACGACATTCAATCCGTGTGCGTAACATAGGTTCCACTTTACCAACAACGGCAACGTCTTCAGCGGGGGTCTCGACCGTTGCCCCCAGTACCGCTGCAGCGACAAAGACAAAAGGTCCACGAGATACGGGTGTAGTAGCTCGTACCTCTGCGGAAGCGGAGGCAGCACGATTAGAGAGAAATGCTAGTTTTATGCGTCGTTGTGCTGAATGTTTCAATGAAGTAACGTTAGGCGACAAAAATTTACTGTGGGAAACGATGGATTTCTGCAATGAAATTTGCCTCGGCAAGTACCAACGCACAATCGGTGCTAATTGTCAAACATGTCATGGAGAAGTACCACATCCTGCCCTCGGTAAATATTGTGTACGCTTCGGTTTTGATATTCGTCAATTTTGCTGTGCAGCTTGTCTTAATGAGTTTAAAAAAGGTTTAAAAACATGTTCGTGTTGTCAAAAGGATATTTCTTCGGGCAGTGAGGGCTTTCTTGCACCAGTGGGTGACAAGGAACAATTTAAAGATTTTTGTTCACAGGCCTGTATGCGACGTTACGATAGCATGTGTAATCCCAAAAAGAAACTACGTAACGATACTTGTGCTGTGTGTAATAATGATAAACCAGTGCGTGTCGAAATTATGCTAGATGGTAAAGAACATAATTTCTGTTCAAATCCATGCTTTTCGGCTTTCAAATTCGTAAGCAATATAGTGGCCGATCAATGTGCTATGTGTTCCAAGTATTTTGAACGCAAAGGCTCAGAGTCATATACCATATATACAGAAAGACGAACTAAAGTGTTTTGTACACGCGTTTGTCTTAATGTGTATATAATTGTTAATCGGCGTATTGTCTCATGTCAATGGTGCAAAGTAAAGAAATATAATTTCGATATGATCTACAAACAGCAAGATGCACAAGAAATTCTAATGTGTTCTCTAAATTGTTTAACTTTGTACGGTGTATCTATTAATGCTTTTTCACGCACTGTTGCCAATTGTGACAATTGCAACACTTCCGCTACACCACAATATCACCTCACAATGTCGGATGCTTCGATGCGTAATTTTTGCACATACCAGTGTGTTATGCAGTTTCAAAGTCAGTTTGCAAGAGCACCGCTTACTTTGGAAAATGATTCACCATCGACCCAACAGACCACTACAGTGACACAAGCCGGATCTAACAAAAGCAATGTACCTTTTCCCACAGGATTGCCTAAGAGGGTAAAACTAAAGATGCCACAACAAACCAAACCACAAATACAGGTAAAAATAATATAATCTTAAACAGCTTATATTTTTAGGGCAAAAAAAAAACCATTTCGGTATAATTTTTTTTTTCCAATTTCAACTACTTCAAACTAAATATTAAATTAATATAGTTTAAGTATATACTGCTCATAAATATTTGATAGATTATTTAATTATATTGTACCTTGTTTGGTATCTATTATTTACAATTTATCTAATGTAGTAGATTGAATATAAAAATATTGCTATCCCTCTCTAGTAAATAGTTTGTGCAAGTATCGTTATATTTGCTGTTTAAAAAACCTAACCTTGATTTATTTTTCAGTTAGAGAGCAACGGTTTTAGATTTTAAATTAATATATAATTTGTTGCAGATCAAACTTCCTGCAAAAACAACCCCTGTAGGAAAAAAGGGGCCTACAATGCCAGTTATATCAACGGTTTCTTCTCTAGCAAGTGGTGAGACCGAAACAATGATTGGTAACGTAACCGTACGCCGAGGCAGAGGTAGAGGTCGAAAGTTAGATTCGCCACCACCTATGCCACAATTAACCACACCTATGAATGTACCCTCTAGGGGTCGTCCGAG